CAAGAATGATCACGGGTCTGGAGACTGAGCCCTACGAGGAAAGGCTAAGGGCCTTGGGAATGTTTAGTTTGGAGAAGAGGAGATTGAGGGGGGACATTTTTACATTTTTTTATTTAACTTTATACTTGATATACCGCCCTAACCCCCAGGGGGGTCTCTGGGCGGTTCACATATATGGCGTTCTAAGAACTATACTTCCTAACTTGGGCCACATCTAGTGTTGGGGGTGGGACTGCCTACCAGCACCCTTGGTGGTGGGATCTTCGCTGGTCTTTCTCGGCTGCTGGCTCGGCTCGGTGTACTGGCGGCTGGCTTGACACAGCGTCCTCTGGGTCTTCTTTTGGTTGCTGGCTCAGCATGGCGTCCTTCGAGGCCTCTGATGTTTCCACGGCAACCCCCAGCTGGATCGCGCAGGCGCCTAGCTCGAGCGTGCTCCCGGCCCGGCTCCGTCCATCAGGCACCGCCGTGCCTGCGTCACATGCCGTCGTGCGTCTCCCACCTCCGCCGTTGCTGTTGCCCGATGTTTTTTTCCTTCCGGCCACCAGGGATCGCTCCATCTCCGCCAGCACTCGCATGCCGCCACCGACATCGTGCCGCCATCCACGCCGTCCGCATCACCACCACACGTCCTCATCAGAGGTGGGTGCCCCCTACCCATCTAAGGGTAGGTACCCATTTGTCTACTCGCATTGTTGCTGTTAATTGCTTTCGAGTTGCTGGGTTGGCGGGAGCTGGGACGAGAGCCGGGAGCTCACTCCGGCCGCGGTGATATTCGAACAGCCGCAATGGCTGCTCCTGGTTGTTAAAGCAGGTGTTTTATCACCTGCGCCACCGCTCCCGGATGGATGGCTGAAAAAGAGCAGGCTGAAGCTACATTCATCAAAGACATGAGGTCCTGTGGCTGAGGAAGGGTGACCTGGGACTGGGTATCAGCCCCATAGCTAGGGATTTTGGGGGGAGGGGGCCTTGGGGGGGTACCAGCTAATTAAATCAAAGCCCGACATGACTGCTCTCCTTAAATATTTGAAAGGCTGTCATTTGGAGGAGGGCAAGGAGCTGTTCCAGTTGGCAGCAGAGGATAGGACCCGAAGCAACGGGTTTAAATTACATGCAGAAAAGTATCAGCTAGATATTAGGAAAAACCTTTTCACGGTCAGAGTGGTTCAAAGGTGGAATCAGCTGCCTAGGGAGGTGGTGAGCTCCCCTTCCCTGGCAGCTTTCAAGAAGAGGCTGGACGAATATTTGTCAGAGATGCTTTAGGCCGGTCCTGCATTGGGCAGGGGGTTGGACTAGATGGTCTGTATGGCCCCTTCCAACTCCATGGTTCTATGTTTTCGTCATTCATTGGAAGAGCTGTAAAATGGCCAGGTCAGCAAACACCATCCAAGATGGAGTCCCCGGAAGCTGCCTTACCCTCACATCCTCACCTTTGGGTCACTGACCTATTTTGTTTTTTTTGTTTTTTAAGCACTGTTTTCTTGATAATGCTCAGGGCAGATTACAAACTTTAAAAGGATAGTTTTAAAAACGACCATTCATTTGTCACCCAACATGAAAATCACACCAAAATCCCTTGTTTCTCCTTACGCTGTCAGAGAAAAGCCGTTCAGGCGGGAGACCTGGGCAGGAAGAGGCGCACCCTGCCTAAGAGGCTACAGTCATCAGAGAATTTCCCTCCTTCCCCAAAAAGGGCCTCCACCCACTCCAGTTCAGGCATCTGACCACTCCCTCTAGGGTTGCCAAGTCTCAGTTGGGAAATTCCTGGGGGGATTTGGGGGTGCAGCCTAGGGAAGGTGGGATTTGTGGGGGGACCTAGAACCTACCCTTCAGAGCAGCCATCTTCTCCGGGGGAAGTGATCTTTGTCTTCTGGAGAGCAGCTCTTGCTCCAAGAGACCTCCAGGCCCCCACGTAGAGGTTGGCAAGCCCACTTTGAAGAAAAGGGATTCCTGGCCTTTCTCCATCTGGTACTCTCCTGATCTACCCTCTCATGTGTGTGTGTGGGGGGGGTTCTGAAAAAGCTACAGACCAGGAGGCAAAAAGAGACTGTGGTGGGGAGATGCCATGATGGCCCCTCAGGAATCCCATGTGATGCAACACACACACACACCCTCTGTATTTTCACACCTCCTCCTGATCCAAAGGACCATTTACTAATAACAGAAAAAAGGCTATTTCGGGAAGGCAGATGCCGAAATCTGCCAACCAGGACTATATTTCCCCCCAGAGACGCCACAGGGGATTCAATTTGCTTTTAGCCCCACGAAGAAGCTCAGTAATAATGGAAGACCCAGAGAGGGCAGGTGTAGTGGGGGGAGGGTGTGTCTCCACGGGGCCAACTCTACTCCTCTTCCCCAACCGCAAAGCCCTCTGCAGCCCTACCAGGCTCTTACCTTGAAGCCCACACGCCCTTCCCACTGGGGTTGCCAAGTGACCGGGAGAAACTCCAGCCTGCCCATCTCTCCTGTACCTTGAGCAGGGGTTTCCTATCTGCAGAGACCAGGAAGATTTCTGAGAAACCGGATCCCCTCCCGGCTTCTTGCGGCAGATTCGCGCCATTTCAGAGGGAGCAGAAAAGGAGCCCGACCTCCCTCTCTCCCCACCCCGGACCTGCTGCTCGCCAGACCCACAACAGAGACCCCCTCGCGGGGCTGCCCGACCTGGGGGGATCATCTTCTCCCGCCTCCTCCTCCACCGACCCGCAGATTTTTACCCTTCTAGCCTTCCCCCCCAGGTCCGGCTCCAACCTCGGTCCTCCAGCTCCGCCGCCAGCGGAGCCGGTTCCCAAAGGCGGAAGTGGGAGGACTTGTGCCGGCTCTCTAGGAAGCGCAGCTCTATCGCTTTAACCCTCTCAAGTGCCGGCAGGTCACGACACCTGCAGGTGGGCAGGGCAGCCGTGTTGGTCTGAAGCAGCAGGACAAAGTTTGAGTCCAGCAGTGGCACCTTTAAGACCAACCAAGTTTTATTCTGGGTACAAGCTGCCGTGTGCATCAACACTTGACTTCTTGCATGCATGGTTGGTCTTAATGGCCAAGAAACAAGCTCTCTTGCTGGAGAAAAGCTTCCTTTGAGCCCCGTCTCCTGGCCCGGGATGTCCGCTCTCTCCAGTCCTGGAGCTTTAATGTGTCTTGCGATGGTCTGAACCCTCTCTGGCCCTGAAAACCCTGCGGGGCTGGCGGCGACTTGGCGGCCAAAGAACAACAACAACAGAAAGGGGGTTGATGGGTGGGGCTGGCGAAGAAGGCACACTGTTCATGCTCAGACAGTGACAAAGTAGGCTGGAATGGCCAAGAGTGGAATGACGGCCCCAGGGTGTGCCAGGAGTGTTCAGGGACTGGGATGACAGGGCCAAGAGTGGAATGACTGTTTGCACAGGAATTGCAAATGCAGGAGGAACACAAAACAAAAAGAGTTTCCAGGTTCCTACCAGAAATTACACCATCAACTTCTTTCTATGGATACCGAAGTGCGTATACAGGAACAATCTATGCTACGGTACCCTGTCATCCCAGTTCCAGAACACTCCTGGTACACCCTGGGGCTGTCTTTCCACTCCTTGGCCTGTCATCCCAGTTCCTGAACAGTCCTGCTCCACCCTGGGGCCATTATTCCACTCCGTGGCCTGTCATCCCAGTCCCTGAACACTCCTGGTACACCCTGGGGCCCTCATTCCACTCTTGGCCCTGTCATCCCAGTCCCTGAACACTCCTGCTCCAACCTGGGGCCATCATTCCACTCCGTGGCCTATCATCCCAGTCCCTGAACACTCCTGCTCCAACCTGGGGCCGTCATTCCACTCCGTGGCCTGTCATCCCAGTCCCAGAACACTCCTGCTCCACCCTGGGGCCGTCATTCCACTCCATGGCCTGTCATCCCAGTCCCAGAACACTCCTGCTCCACCCTGGGGCTGTCGTTCCACTCCGTGTCCTATTATCCCAGTCCTAGAACACCCCTGCTCCACCCTGGGGGCATCATTCCACTCTGAGGCCTGTTATCCCAGTTCCAGAACACTCCTGCTCCACTCTGGGGCCGTCATTCCACTCTTGGCCCTGTCATCCCAGTCCCTGAACACTCCTGCTCCACCCTGGGGCTGTCATTCCACTCTTGGCCCTGTCATCCCTATCCCTGAACACTCCTGCTCCACCCTGGGGCTGTCATTCCACTCCGTGGCCTGTCATCCCAGTCCCAGAACACTTCTGTTACTCCCAGGGGCTGTCATTCCACTCTGTGGTCTCTCATTCCATCCCCAGAGTAGTGTATTTGGGCCCAGAGACCCTAATGGAAAAATCCATTCCGCATTTTTATTGCAACTGTTTGTTGTTGTTGTTTAGTCGCACAGTCGAGTCCGACTCTTTGCGACCCCATGGACCAGCTCCCGCCAGGCCCTCCGGTCTTCCGCCATCCTCTGAAGTTTGCTCAACTTCATGTTCGTTGCATCGATGACACTGTCTAACCATCTCATCCTTTGCCGTCCCCGTCTTCTTTGACCTTCAATCTTTCCCTGCATCAGGGTCTTCTCCAGTGAGTGCTCCCTTCTCATTTGGTGGCCAACATTCCTGGCTCCCATTGTTTCCAATGGGCCTTCCAGCGTCTCCCATTGTTTCCAATGGGCAATCCTGTCCTTCCTTTTAGTGCACCCCCCTGAAGAAGTCAGAGAGTCACATTCCCTCAGTGCTTAGGAAAGCCTTCAAGCCTCCACAAGAACCGGGACAAGCTGAACGGAGGCTTGAAGGCCTTGGCTGGATTCCTTGGGGCTCCGGAGCAACCGCGCAATGGCAGCCAAAATCCCACAAGGAGGAGTCCAAACAGATGACTTGGCTCTTCTCCCCTTTAAGCCTCTTTCAGGTTTTCAGTTTGAAAAAGAGGGAAATGTTTCTCCAGTACACTTCTGCGATATATGCCCTTTTCTGATTATTCTGCCATTTTTGCAAGGTTCTTTCTTTCTTTCTTTTTTAAAAAACACCCCTTTTTACTGGGTGGCTCCCCCTCTTAATATGGGTCCACATGGGGGTAGGTTTAAAGCTTTGTGGGAATCTTCGCTCATATCAACCCCAATGTGCAGCAGATCAGCCCAGGTAGGGTTCCTGTAAAAATACAGGCCTTGAGCCCATCTAGGAAGCACTGTCACCTCCACAGTTATCATTCACACAGAAACTACACCGCTTGTATGTCTAACACTAACAGCCGGAGGAAGTCATGGATGAGAGAATTCAAACCCAAACCTTCTGCGCCATCCTGCATTCTGCTGCCTCGGGCATTTTCCCCCATCTGAAGCGTTCATACTAGAAGGCAGGAGGGCTGTGAGGAAAGGGCCCTTCAACCCCATCTAACACCTCAAGAAGCCTCACCATTCAGGTGTTGGGGGAGAGCCTGCGCTCAGCACCACCTCAGACGCAGTCCAAGAGAGCACACATCAGAATTAGCCAGTGGTTTCCGCTGCAAGTTAAGACCTTTCCCAGATTCTTTAATGCTCCCCCTCTGAGGTGAACCATGGCGCCAGGCTCCTGTTTGACAGGAGAGGACACGGGGGGGGGGATCCCATCCAGTGTCTCTATGACTCTCACCCTATGAGGTCTCCTAACCCCACTTCTTCTTCTTCTGGGGCCACCAAAACAGTTTCTGACCCAAAGCCCTGCCTGGAACCTAGGCCGAGAAGGAACCCATCTCTAGATGTTTGAACCTATTGGCTAAGTGCCACATTCTAAAATATTTAACCCCAAATATAAAATCCAACACCAATGGTAGCAAAAAATAAGAAGTTGGAATTAATTGGTACAAAATACTTTCTTATACCTCATCCTCAGCTGAGTTTCTTATTTTCTCAGATCCTCAGACTACAGGGGAAATCGAAACGTCTGAGTACCTTTCCAAACAAAACAGTGATCTGAAAAGAGGATCTTCTTCTCAGATAAAAGAATCTGAGAAATAAAACCCATGGAGGCAATCAAAGGCCTGTGAGGAATGGCAGGTGGGCAAATCCTCCCCCCACTCAGCAAATGGCTGTCGTGCTGAGCCCCAGGGTTTCAATCTAGCCCTGAACCTGAGGAGGACTTCGGTGCAGGAGGGGATTTTTACTTCTCCCTCCTGAGGCTGCAGAAATTTGAAATAAACAAACATAGACAGACAAGCCAATTCTTTTATTACTATAGATTAATGGTAACAGCAAGCCAAGTGATTTGTTCATTTTGTTATGACTTTTGGTTTGTATCAGGGATCATATGGGGGGGCAGCTGGATTCTGGGTCCAGGGGCCCATGGTGGCTCTCGGCAGCCCTGGGGATGTGTCAGAGACATCTGAAATTAGGTTAGATGTGTGACTGTGATTGCAGTAGATCAGTTCCCCCAAAAAATGGAGGAGCAAGGCCAGCAGTCCGTAGGATCCAGTACCCCCTCTGAAGTCATAACAAAAGATAAGCCCAAGCCCGATCTCGTCAGATCTTGGAAGCTTGGCAGGGCCGATCCTGGCAAGTACTTGGATGGGAGGCCTCCAAGGAATACCAGGGCCGTGACGCAGAGGCAGGCAACGGCAAGCCACTTCTCTGAACATCCCTTGCCTCCAAGCCCTACTAGGGGTCGCCAGAAGTCAGCCATGACTTCTGGACACACACACACACCCCAAAATAAAAAGAGATGACAGCATGGTACAATGAGGTCTTTCCTAGTATTAGATTCGCGTTATATGTTCTTGTAAGGACTTTTTTTAGCTCTTGAGGAATTAAATTAACAGTGGATGCAGTGATGGCCACCAGCTACAGGGATTGAAAGGGGTTTAGAAAGATCTGTAAAGGAGACATCCAACAACAGCTGCTAGCCCATCACAAAATGATGCTAAGTTGCACAGAATGCTGGGGGAGTCCCAAGGCAAGCATCCGGCAACGGAGGCAACTGCTTCTGAAGGGACGCTCCCAGGGGTGGCAAAGGCGATGCCTCTTGGACTCTTCAGAAGTAACTCCTGAATTCAAGATGTGAAAAGAAAGCAGTGATTGGGTAACTGTGTTCGTCTGCAGTGGAAGAGCTAAATTCGGGTCCGGTAGCACCTTGGAGACCAACAAGATTCTTAGGGTATGTGCGTTTTCAAGCGTCGATGCTTGCTTCATCAGGTACTTGTAAGACATCTGACATCTCGTATGTGACGAAAGGAGCTTTGATTCTCGAAGCTTATATCCTGAAAAACTTGTATGTCTCTAAGGGGCTGCTGGAGTGGAATCTAGCAAAGGAAGGGGAGTGGTATTCCTTCTGCATGGCCACAAGAAGAGCCCACAGAACTAAGAAAGTCTTAATTCACGGCTATGCCACAAGCCGTCCTTATCCCACTTGGTGACAGAATGTATTTAAGAGGTGTATAGTAGCAAACCTTTCTTAATATTATGAACAGAAGGCACTGGGTTTGCTGGGCTTCCAAAATCCACTATCCCTTGCTTGGGCTGTGATTCTGTGCTTGACATCAGCTTCCATTGCCACAATGACACTGGGTTCTGCTGGGCACTCTTTGTGATTGCACTGGTACTGCTGGGTACTCTGTACATTGCACTGGTTCTCCGGGGTTTGCAAAAAAAGCCCACCTTTCAATTCCTACTGCAGATTCTCTGGTTTGACTTTAATTCTTTAGAAAGAATGGAGGATGGGGGCACCTTCGTTGGGGGAATAGTGTGTTTCTTAACATACGAACATAAAGAGAAGCCATGCTGGATCAGGCCAATGGCCCATTCAGTCCAGCCCTCTGTGTTACACAGTGCCCAAAACCCAGGTGCCACAAGGAAGTCCACCAGTGGGACCAGAACTCCAGAAGCCCTCCCACTGTTACCCCCCAAGCACCAAGAATACAGAGCATCACAGCCCCAGAGACGGTGTTCCCTTGATACCTTGCAGCTCATCCACTCAGACTGCAGGAAGATGGTGCCTGTCAGCACCTCTCCTTCTCTCCTTTCCCTTCCTGCCCCACCCTCTTCTTTTTCTCCTGGTGCCCAGCTCCATGCCTCCCTTTGCCCACCTGCTTCCACTCTTGGGTATGCCAAGTGAGCCTGGAAGCCACTGCTGAGCATGACCAAGGATGCTGCCTCTGCCTCTCTTTACCCTCTAAATGTGATGGTTTTCCTCAAAAAGCCAAAAATCAAAAATATGGCTTTGGTGTTACCACATCAACCAAAAAAAGAAGTTAATATTAGAGACACAACCAATCCAAGACCTACCGTGTACCAGCAAAGTCCAAAGATTTCCATACTTAACAATCCATAAACATTTCATGAATGAAGGGTCTCACCCCAGAGGCACACCATTTATTCTTCATGGCAATCCCGTGAGGCAGGGCTCTTTTTGTAGCAGGAGCTCCTTTGCATATTAGGCGACACATCCCTAATGTAGCCAATCCTCCAAGAGCTTACAGTAGCCCCTGTAAGAAGAGCTCTGTAAGCTCTTGGAGGATTGGCTACATTAGGGGTGTGTCGCCTAATATGCAAAGGAGTTCCTGCTACAAAAAGAGCCCTGCCCGGGCGTGAGGTATGTTAGTGACTGGCCAAATGTGGGCTGGAACCCAGATCCACCCGGCCGCAACCCAACACTCTGGCAACCCAACGTAAAACATGGGGATCAGGTGAGGCAGGAGAGGCCTGGCTGAAGCAAGAGGATTTCTTTCTACACTTTTACAGACCATTTTAGAAAACACATAACACCCTTGCAATGGACTAATTTTTTAAACATTTCCTCATCACCAGTCTGTAAAACCCCCCACAAAACACAGAAAAGGGCACTTGACTTCTCCCTCCTGACCCTGATCTGTGAGACTCAAGGGGGATTCACATTTCAAAACATTCACTTACAATGCCAAGGATACTCTTCCAGTTCTAGGATACTGTTATGTTGTTGGGGGCACCCTTTGAATATACCAAGTTTTTCTTTAAATCTGAATTAATCCCACTAGAGAGACCCTGAAAATCTGACAGCCGCCTGAGCCCACCGCATCTGGACAATCCAAAAGGAGTCTTCACAGAACAAATCTAGGGCAGTTCAAGCGGAAAGTTTTACCCCTGTGTGGATTCTGTGAGGAACATGGGGGCCTGATCTCTTCCTCAAGTTCTTCCACATACTGAGCATTTGAGGCTTCTCTCAGGTGGATTACTCAGTGCTTAAGGAGGGCGGAGTTGGTCTGGAATCTCCTTCCACCCTCAGAGTACATCTTTGCTTTCTTCCCTTTGAGATCTGTTTGAGGCTTTAATCACAACTAAAGCTCTTCCCACAATCCCAGCACTTATACTATGTCTCCTGTATGAATCTTGCTTGTTTCTATGGCTATAAGTAAGGTTTCTGTGCAGATATAATCTCTTTCCAATAGTTTTTATTGTTTTACTTTGTGTGGACTCTTGTCACAGGCTTAGCAGCCATAACGTTTCTCCTCGTGTGGATTCTTTGACACCGTTGAAGATGGCTACACTGACTGAAGCTCTTTGCACACTTTGAGTATCCCAAAGGTTTCTGCCCTGTGAGGGTTACTTGATGCTGTTGACGTTATTCTCTCCAGTGTGGACTCTTTGATGCTTCTGTAAACAGACTCTCCAGGTGAATTTCTTTCCACATTCTGAGCATTCAAAAGGTTTCTCCCCTGTGTGGATTCTTTGATGCTGCTGAAGATTGCAACTCTGACGGAATCTCTTTCCGCAATCCAAGCATTCAAAAGGTTTCTCCCCTGTGTGGATTCTTTGATGCTGCTGAAGATTGCAACTCTGACGGAATCTCTTTCCGCAATCCAAGCATTCAAAAGGTTTCTCCCCTGTGTGGATTCTTTGATGCTGCTGAAGATTGCAACTCTGACGGAATCTCTTTCCGCAATCCAAGCATTCAAAAGGTTTATCCCCCGTGTGGATTCTTTGATGCCACTGAAGACTGCCACTTTGATTGAATCTCTTTCCACACTGTGAACATTCGAAAAGGTTCTCACCTGCATGGGTTCTTTGGTGTGCAAGGAGTTGAGATTTGTATCTGAAGTACTTTCCACACTGAAAGCATTTAGATGCCTTCATACTGCTATGCTTTGGAAAATGTACATTAGCCTTATTTCCATCAGAGAAACTCTTTTCGCCCCCCGAGCAGATAAACGGCTTCTCTTCTGAATCATAAAATCCAGGCAATTCTGTGACAAGGGGCATGAGTTGGCTTTCAGCTTCTGAAAAATGGTGGGAAAGTCATGTCAAACAAACCAGACAGCTCACAGAGGACCACCCTGGTTTCTGGAGGGGGAGAGGGCAAGGAACTTGGACAGCCCCAAAGCGTCAAGGTGACCCCAATAGGAAAGAGTCACTGGGACTTGGGCTTCATCCACCCAATCTCTTCTTTAGTCACCAGCCCCTCTCTCGAGCATATCAAGTCCTTAAGAGCTCAGCCCCTGAAGGAGTTTCCCAAGACTCCTCTATCTCAGTCCCCAGGAGGCCTCCCTCCCTCCCTCCTTACCAAGTGGACAAGCCTCTCCATCGTCTTCTTGTTTGATGTCCATCAAGGGATGCCTCTGCTCACTTTCAGACAGATCCTGGCCGGCTTTGGAGACATTCCCAGCTTCCTCCTCCAACGGTGCCTACAACAGCAGAGAGGGATGGATCCTTTCAGGGCAGAGTGACAAAGACTGCGGGAAACGCAGAGGGGAGGGTTCTTTCCCCCACCCTGACTATGGCAGATTTATCAGTAGGTAATATGGAGAAAGCAAGACAGAGTTTCCTTAAGGAATATTAAAAGGTTTGAGTACCACATTGCAAACTACTCCTAATGTACTTAATTCCACAAAGAAGGCAACACTACCAAGAAGGCCCAAGACATAATATCAGCAGCAAAACTGAATGGGAGGAGGTCTTTAGGAATCTCCAGACCACACCTCTCACCTGTGGAGGTGGCGGGGGGGGGGCAGGAATCTTGAGCACCCAGAAGCCCAAGACCTGCTCCTTCAGGGGAGGGTGAACTCCATCAATACGAGCCCATCCACTGGTTCCCAGGTGGAGACAAATTCCTCCCCACCTAAAAACTCTGGATTCAGCTTCCAGGAAAATGCTGCAACCAACCTTTCCTTTGCACACCGGCTATCCCTTTCTCCCCCCTTATATGAACAGAGATCTCAGCCCCAGATCCACCCCAGGCCCTCCCGCACTCAGGATCTACACAGTAGAAGCCCCCCCCCACCTTAAAAAGAAGAGATTAGATTTATACCCCGCCCTTCACTACCCAGAGGAGTCTCTCAGCAGCTTACAAACTCCTTTCCCTCCCCCTCCCCACAACAGACACCCTGTGAGGCAGGTGGGGCTGAGAGAGCTCTGACAGAAACTGCTCTTTTTCAAGGACAGCTCTTATCAGAACTACAGCTTGCCCAAGGTCATCCAGCCAGGTGCAAGTGGAGTGGGGAATCAAACCCGGTTCTCCCAGATTAGAGTCCACGCACTTAACCACTACACCAAACTGGCTCCTCAGCCAGGGCCATCACCTGGGAGCAGCTCTCTGGGCCGCTCTCCCTCACCAGGCTCTCCGGGGGCAGGATGCTCAGCAGCTGCTCCAGGATCTGCCCCTTGCTATGAGTCTCCACACTCAGCCACCCACGGCACACTTCCCAAGTCAGCTTTAAGCCCCCAGTGGCCCCCTGATGGCAGAAACCCCTGAACTGCTGATGCGGCTTCTCCCTGCTGAAGGCTTCCCCATGCAAGATGGCTGCCTTCACCTTCCCATAATCCTTCCTGCCTTGGACATCTAGCCTGTTAAAGGCCTGCTTGGCATCGCCACTGAGGGCTGGTAGGTGAGTCACCCCCTCTTCCTGGGGCCACTGACAGGCCACTTGCTCAAAGGAGGCCAGAAAGGCCTTGGCATCCTCCCAGGGGGAAGGTTTCTCTGGCAAGGGAAGTAAGTTAGAGGACTCCAGCATCCTGAGGAATTCCTGCCACTGGATTTCTCACTGCTTGAGGGAAAGGGATCCCTCCTCTGTAGGCTGATTCATTGGATGTTCTCGTCTGCAGGATCTCCCTGATACTCACAGCCTGTAAGAAATGAGGGGCTTCTCCACTCCCCTCTGATACTTCCCCTAATTTGGAAACTCTGGGAGTCTCTTTCTCCATTTCTTGGCCCGAATGATCACTCAGCACTGGTGCTACAGGACTAGAATACGTTATCCTCTTCCACACGGAACTTCTCCCTTCAGAAAAGACAATTACAGGAAAGAGAGAGAAGAGAGACATTCAGCTTCCGGTTTAAATGGCCCAAGTGCAAGATTTCTGCCCAGATTAATTTATACATCACAAGGTTTCAGTATGACTGTATATGGTTAAAGGTAAAGGTTCCCTTGCTCGAAACCCAGTTGAATCAGACTCTAGGGTTGCGGTGCTCATCTCCGTTTCAAAGCCAAAGAGCCAGTGCTGTCCGAAGACGTTTCCGTGGTCATGTGGCCGGCATGACTAAACACCAAGGTGCACGGAACGCTGTTACCTTCCCACTGAAGTGGTCCCTATTTATCTACTTGCAATTTCTTGCTTTCGAACTGCTAGGTTGGCAGGACTGTATATGGTGACTTCTTTTTTAAATGAGTAAAGGAACATGCTAATTATGAATTTTTCAGATTTCTCTCCAGTCCTAGAAAAAAAATTCCTCTTATGGTTTATACAATGGCAGAAAGGCTGTTCCGCTAGAGAGGAGACACCAAAGAGAATGTGTGAGTTCATTTGTTTGCATGGCGGCACAGTCAAAGAATGTTCCTCCTGTTAGCAGAGCTGGCACAGAGGAGTCATGGCTTGGTAGTACAGCACATGCTCGGTGTATAGAAGGTCCCCAGTTCAATCCCTGGCATCTCCAGTTAAAGGCACCAGGTAGGAGCGATGTGAAGGTCTCTGCCTGGGACCCTGGAGACCTTAGTCAGAGTAGACAACCAGCCTTGACAGACTCCACAGAAGATACCTTCATATGTATAGAGTAATGGGACTGGCTGCCCAGCAGAGTTGTGGGTTTCCTGGTGATAACCGGGCCCTTGAACTGAACCTGGAAACTATTGGGGCCATTACTAGAGTGGCTCACTCTGCCTAACTCCTGATAGTACTTGAGCTACAGCGTCCTGCATTACTTGAAGCTTCCAAGTTGTCTTCAAGGCCCATCCCCTGTGGAGTGCAGTCCAGTAGTCTAGCTTCAAGACACCACCTCTCTGGATCTCTCCCAGCTATGCTATTTTGGTTGGCTTCAGAGAAGATGCCAGAGGATAGAGGGAATCTCCCGTGTGCCATGCACAGGCTGTGGCGCTGAGCTGTGGCTTCTCCCCCCATCACAGAAAGACCCCCCCCATCCATGTGCCACCTGCCCCTCGTGTCTCTCATGAGACATCTGAGGACCCCAAAGGAGGGGATGCAACTCTTAGAAGGCAAAATTGTACCTTCTGCATTTGGCATTTTTACTTTCAAAGCTCAGCTTGGAAACTGACATCCTCCTGGGAAGGACCAGCATGTCACCCTCTCTCACTCCCCCCCCCCCCCCAAAAATGCTCCAGTTTAGCCCCAGGACCCTTTTCCGTATCCTGTCTGGAAACCGCAGCTCACGTGTGCCTTTCTTCCCAGCCCCCCTTTCTACCCTCTCTAGCTTCTAGGGCCTCCAGGGTTTCAGGCAGAAGACTTTCACATTACCTATTGCCTAATCCTTTCGGTTGGGAGTTCCAGGGACTGAACCCGGGCCCTTCCCCGAAGAGAGCAGAGGCTCTTCCACTGAGCCACAGCCCCTCCCCCCTGACTTCCCATGACTTTTTAAAAAGTGTCATAAAATCCAGAGAGTTTTGAGACAGGTGTGTGTGTGACGCAGGCCATGAGTTGGTTTTCTTCCTCTGAAAAACAAGGGGAGAGCCTCATCAAACAAACCAGAGTCCGAACGGGAGCACCCTGGTTTCTACAGGGGGAAGGGGGAACAAACTGGGGAGGTTCAAAGGCTCCTGGGTGACCCCGTAGGGAGGAGCCAATGGGAACTGTGCTTTCTCCGAGAACATCAAGTCCTCTGGGGAATGAAAGGACAGGGAAGCGGCCCTTGACAGGAGAGAACCACAGAGTTGGAAGGGGCCATACAGACCATCTAGTCCAACCCCCTGCCCAATGCAGGACCAGCCTAAAGCGTCTCTGACAAATATTCGTCCAGCCTCTTCTTGAAAGCTGCCCAGTGAAGGGGAGCTCACCACCTCCCTAGGCAGCTGATTCCACCTTTGAACCACTCCGACCGTGAAAAAGTTTCCCCTAATATCCAGCCGATAGCTTTCTACATGTAATTTAAACCCGTTGCTTCGGGTCCTATCCTCTGCTGCCAACTGGAACAGCTCCTTGCCCTCCTCCAAATCACAGCCTTTCAAATATTTAAGGAGAGCAATCATATCCCCACTCAATCTCCTCTTCTCCAAACTAAACATTCCCAGGGCCCTTTGCCTTTCCTCGTAGGGCTCAGCCCCAGAAGGAGCTTCCGAGACTCCCCAATCTCAGGCCCCAGAAGGCCCCCCCTCCTTCCTTCCCTCCTTACCCAGTGGGCCGGCCTCTCCGCCCTCTTCTTCTTTGATGGCCATCGTGGGATGCCTCTGCTCACTTTCAGACAGATCCTGGCCCGCCCTGAAGACAGTCCCAGCCATCTCCTCCAAGGGCGCCTGCAACACCAGAGAGGGACGGGCCCTTTCAGAACAGAGTGAAAAGGGGGGGGGGGGCAGAAGGTTCTTCTTCCCCCTGACCATATCAGGTTTCTCAGTATGTAATATGGAGAAAGCAAAACAGAGCTTCCTTGAGGAATAATGAAATGTTTTGAGCACAAATATGTGTTGATGGACAGGCGAATACTGCCCCAGATATTTTAGCCAGGGGTCTGGAGGTTGTGGTTGGTTGGAGCAGAGCCGACTGAAATTGAATCCATCGAAGACGGAGGTCCTGTACCTGAGCCGGGGAAATGCAGGTCTAGGGGTCCAACTCCCAGCTCTTGATAATACGTTACTGACACCGACGCCAACAGTGAAGAGTCTGGGCTTGATTTTGGAGGCCTCCCTTTCTCTGGAGGCCCAAATCACAAATGGTTCTCAGCTGGCATTTTTTTTCACCTATGCCAGGTCAAGCAACTGGTTCCCTTCCTCTCTCCCCCAGACTTAGCTACAGTGATCCACGCAATGGTCACCTGAGCCAGTGTTCCCTCTAAGCTGAGTTAGGGTGAGCTAGCTCACAGTTTTTTAGCCTCCGGCTCACACATTTTTGTCTTAGCTCACGAAGGAGGGCTCCAGAGCAAACTAATTTATGCAGTATCCAAATTGCTTGCTCACAGCTTTAATGCCAGTCGCTCACAAAGTAGAGTTTTTGCTCACAAGACTCCACAGCTTAGAGGGAACATCCAGGCTAGATTACTGTAACTCATTCTATGCAGGACTACCCTTGAGACTGACCCGGAAATTCCAGCTGGTTCAGAATGCAGCAGCTCGTATCCTCACTGGAACATCATTAAAGGCCCAGGTTACAGCAGTGCTCTGCCAGCTGCACTGGCTCCAGGTGGAGAACCGGATCAAGTTCAAGGTATTGGTTTTGACCTTGAAAGCCCTACGTGGTCTGGGACCAACATTTATTTTATTTATTTACTTATTATCAAATTTGTACCCCGCCCTCCCCGCGAAGCAGGCTCATAGCTAAGTGACTGTCTCTTCTGGCACGTCACCCCAAAAAACTCAGTGCTCAACAGATCAAAGTCTACTAGTGATCCCTGTCCCCAAAGATTCCACCTAGCCTCAACCCCAGAGCATAAGAACATAAGAGACGCCAATGTTGGATCAGGCCAAAGGCCCATCCAGTCCAACACTCTGTATCACACAGTGGCCAGAAATACCAGGTGCCATCAGGAGGTCCACCAGTGGGGCCAGGACATTAGAAGCCCTCCCACTGTTGACCCCCCCCCCAAGCACCAAGATGACAGAGAATCACTTGCCCAGAGTCCCTATCTATACCTTGTGGCTAATAGCCACTGATGGACCTCTGCTCCATATGCTTATCTAATTCCCTTGTGAAGCCGTCCATGCTTGTAGCCGCCACCACTTCCTGTGACAGTGAATTCCATGTGTTAATCACTCTTTGGGTGAAGAAGTACTTCCTTTTATCCGTTCTAACCCGACCGCTCAGCAATTTCATTGAGTGCCCACGAGTTCTTGTATTGTGAGAAAGGGGGGAAAGTACCTCTTTCTCTACCTGCTCTTTCCCATGCATAATCTTATAAACCTCAATCATGTCACCCATCAGTCGTCGTTTCTCCAAGCTAAAGAGCCCTAAGCGCCTTTTCAGCTCTGGCACCAGCCTGGTGAAATGTTCTTCCCGAGTAAGATCCAGGCCCTGCAGGATCTAAACCAATTCTGCAGGGCCTGTAGAACACAGCTTTTCCACCAGGCCTATGGTTGAGGCAGCGGTAATCACCCAGCCTGGCCTCCCTCTGTGTTTTCTCTCCTTGGCCCGCTCAATTTGTTTCTACAGTATCTTAATATCCACTGTTGCACCCGATACAGAACCCTTTGGGCTGTATTAACTATTAACTGCCTTATTGTTTCGGCCGCCATCTGATATTGTTTTAGTTGTTAATCTATATTTATTATTTTAACTGTTTAATTGTTATGGCTGTTACCCGCCCTGAGCCTGCTCGCAAGGGAGGGTGGGCTAAAAATCAACTAAGCTAAACTAAAACACTCCTAGGGTAGTGAATTCCACAAAGAAGGCACCACCACCAAGAAGACCCAAGACGCAGCAGCAACCATTGAATTATGTGGAAGGAGGGAGATGGGAGGAGGTCCTCTGGACTCTCCAGGCCACACCTCTCACCTGTGGGGCAGGAATCTTGAGCACCCAGAACCCCAAGACCTCCTCTTTTAGGGTGGCACCATCTTTACAGGTCCATACACCAGTTCCCAGGTTGAGGCAGAATTCCTCCCCATCTATGGATTCAGCTTCCAGGGAAATGTTGCAACCAATCTTTCCATTGTACCCTGGTTTTCCCCTTCTCCCCCCCCGGATCTCAGCCCTGGCTCCACCCCAGGCCCTCCGACACAGCAGAACACCCTCACCTGCTTCTCCTGCCTTAAGAGGAACTCCTCAGCCAGGGCCACCGCCTGAGAGCAGCTATCGGGTCTGCTCTCCCTCACTCGACTCCGGATCTCCGAGGGCAGGACGTTCAGCAGCTGCTCCAGGACCAAGAGCTCCAGGATCTGCTCCTTGCTGTGATTCTCCACTCTCAGCCACCCACTGCACATTTCCCGCAGTCGTCTGTAAGCCCCTCGTGGCCCCTCGGCCTCCTGGTAGCAAAAACTCCTGAACTGCTGACGCTGCTTCTCCTGGATCAGGGCATCCTCTCGCAAGATGGCTGCCTTCACTTTCCCATAATTCTCTCTGTCAGGGACATCCAAACTGTTAAAGGCCTTCTCGGCTTTGCCACTGAGGGCTGGCAGGAGTTGGGTCGCCCACTCTTCCTGGGGCCACTGACAGGCTTCAGCCACTTGTTCGAAGGAGGCCAGGAAGGCCTTGGCATCTTTCCAAGGTGAAGGTTTCTCTGGCAAGGAGGGGATTCCCCATGGAGAGTGAGAGCTCTCTACTGTCCTGAGGAATTCCTTCCACTGGGCTTCCCACTGCTCCAGGGAAAGGGAACCCTCCACTCCATGTGGACTAACCGGATCTCCAGATCTCCTTTCCAGGATTCCCTTCATACTCCCAACCTGAAGGACCTGAGGCCTTTTTCTTACCCACTCTGTTACCTCCCCTGATTTGGGGCATGTGTGATCTTGCGCCTCCATTTTCACCTCAGAACGATCCCTCAGGAACGGCACTGCAGAACTGAAATTTATATTAATGTTTTCCAGCCTGGGCTTCTTCCTGGAGAAATGGGAAAGAGAGAGAAGAGACACAGTCAACTGCCGGTGGGTGGCCCCCACGTGATCTTCTTCCCATATGCACCACTCATATACAAAACTGCACTACTTTCATGCATCTACTAGTGCAATAAATGTATAAATTAAAAAGCTAACTAAAATGATTTATTTTAACAGCTACCCACAGAACTTTACGAGCCGGCCTTGCCTATACATGACCGTCATTCATTGGAAGAGCTGTGAAATTGCCTTATCAGCAAACACCATCCAAGATGGAGTCCTCCGAAGCTGCCTTCCCTCATCCTCACCTTTGGTCTGCTGACCTGTTTGGTTCATTTCAAGCCCCGTTTTCTCAATAATGCTCAAGGCAGATTACAAACTGAAAAGAATAATTTTTAAAACAACAACTCATCTATTACTCAACATGAAAATCACACCAGGATCCCTTCTTAATGAAAATGTCCTCCTGAGAAGTTCCTTCTTATGCTCTCAGAGAAAGGACATTCAGGTGGGAGACTTCGGCAGGGAAAGGTGCACCCTGCCTAAGAGGATACAGTAGAAAAGAGCAAGAGTCCAGTAGCACCTTAAAGACTAACAAAATTTGTGGTAGGGTATGAGCTCTCATGAGGCACTGATCACTTCTTCAGATACAGCTAGAATGGGAGTCCATCTGTGCTGTTTATCAGAAAGTGGAGTGATTTCAGATGCTGAATGACATTAGTAGGCAAATGACAATAGCAGGTGTGATTGGATTAGGTGAGACATGCAGAGGGGTAATAGGCATGGAGAAGAGGAAGAAGAGATTGGATTTATACCCTGCCCTTCACTACCCAAAGGTGTCTCAGAGCGACTTACAAATTCCTTTACCTTCCCCTCCCCACAACAGACATCCTGTGAGGTAGGTGGGGCTGAGAGAGCTCTGACAAAAACTGCTCTTTTTCAAGAACAGCTCTTATCAGAGCTATGGCTTGCCCAAGATCATCCAGCCAGGTGCAAGTGTGGGGAATCAAACCCAGATTAGAGTCCACACACTTAACCACTACACCAAACTGGCTCTGAGAAATCAGCATTGGTAGTAAGACAGGAAACGTTAGTCTCAATTCAACTGATACTGAAGCTCAAGACAATGCATCCACCTGGACTGAATCGAGACCTAGGTATCCTATCTCATTACAAATGCTGATTTCTCCACGCCTATTACCCCTCTTCATGTCTCTGCATGTCTCACCTAAATCCAGTCACATTTGCTAGTGTAATTCACCTGCTATTGTCATTTGCCTGCTAATGTCATTCAGCATCTGAAATCACTCCACTTTCCAATAAATAGCACAGATGGATTCTCATTCTAGCTGTATCTGAAAAAGTGAGCAGTGATTCATGAGAGCTCATACCCTGCCACATATTTTGTTAATCTTTAAGGTGCTACTGGACTCTTGCTCTTTTCTACTGCTACAGACAGACTAACACAGGGACCCATCTTGATCTGAGAGGATACAGTCATTGAGAATTTCCTTCCTTCGCAAACTGACCTCTTGCTTTGAGGAAAAAGGATTCCTGACCCCTCTGCACACCCAAGTTCTCTGTTTGGTACTCTCCTGATCTGCCCACACATGGGAGGGAGCTGAAAAAGGTACAAGTCAGGAGACAAAAAGGAATTAGGGGTGGCAGGTGGGATGCCCTGATGGCCCCACAGAAATCTGATGTGATGCGAAACCTCCACCCCATCACCAAAGGAGGGACTCCTTATATTTGCAAACCTCGTCCTGCAGCAAAGGAATCCCATTTACCAATAACAGAAAAAAGATTCCTTTCAGGAAGGCCAATGCTGAAATCTGCCCACCGGGGCTACATTTTGTCCCAGAGACACCACAGGGGATTCAATCTGCTTTTAGTCCCAGGGAAAAGCTCACTAATAGAAGACACAAAGAGGGCCAGGTCCCCTACGCGATCCTCCCCGAAATGACCTCTGTTTATGTCATTTATGGGAAGAGCTGTAGAACTGCCATTCCAGCAAACACCATCCAAGATGGAGTCCCTTGAAGCTGTCTTACCTTGATCTTCACCTTTGGTCGGCCAACCTCTTTTGCTCTCTTGATAATGCTCAGGGCAGATTACACACTAAAAGTAATAGCTTTAAAAATGACCAGTCACCTTTAAAAACGACCAACATGAAAATCACACCAGAATCCCTTCTTAATTAAAAGTCCTCCTGAAAAGTTCCTTCAGAGAAAAGATATTAAGGTGGGAGACCTGGGCAGGAAGAGGCGCAGGCTGCCTAAGAGGCTGTAGTCATCTGAGAATTTCCCTCCTTCCCCAAAAAGGGCCTCTACCCACTCCAGTTAAGGCATCTGACCTCTTCCTTTGAGGAACACGCCTTGAAGAAAAAGGATTCCTGACCTCTCTCCATACCCAAGTTTTCCATTTGGGACTCCCCTGATCTGCCCACTCAAGGGGGAGGGGGGCTGAAAAAGCTACAAATCAGGAGACAGGAATTAGGGGTGGCAGGTAGGGTACCCTGATGACCCCACAGGAATTTCATATGATGGGACCAGGGGTCATTTCCTGCAGGAGCACACAGGAGCGGAGCTCCGGCAGTAAAGAGCCCAAGGGGTGGGCACATGCAACAAGCCCCACTCCCTGCTCCCAGCAGCCCTCAGTCAGAGAAAGAAGCAGCCATGTAAGTTGCAGAGCTCCCCCGGCCCAAAACAGTCCAGTGGCACCTTTAAGACCAAGTTTTATTCAGGTACAAGCTCTCCCTCCTCTGTGAGGGCAGACCTGCACGTCCCCCCCCCCAATAGCTAGCAATCCACAACAGTCCAGTGGAGCCTGAGCTGTGGGTGTTGCCTTCTGACACACTTCTGGTGATGTCAGGGGGTGTGGCATATGGAAATAAGTTACGCTAATGAGTTATGCTAATGAGCTCCTGCACCTCTTTTTCTACGAAATGACCCCTGGATGGGACACCCCCACCCCATTGCCAAAGGCCTCGCTAAATTAATATCCCCCTCCCCACATCTTCTCCTGCTCCACAGGAATCCCATTTACCCAACAACGCACAAACTATTATTTCAGGAAGGCAGAGGCTGAAATCTGCCCACCAGGGTTACCTATCGCCCCAGGGGATTCAGTCTGCTTTTCGCCACGGACAGAAGCTCAGTAATGGAAGACCCAGAGAGGACAGGTAGGGGGGGGGGTCTCCATGGGGTACTACTCCTCTTCCCCAGCCTCAAAGCCCTCTGCAGCCCTACCAGACTCCGCCTTGAAGCCCACACGCCCTTCCCACTGGGGTCGCCAAGGGACCGGGAGAAACTCCAGCCTGCCCATCTCTCCTGTACCTTGAGCAGGGGTTTCGTATCTCCAGAGATCAGGAAGATCCCTAGGAAACCGGAAACACCCCCCCCCCCCCGGCTTCTTGCTGCAGATTCGCGCCCGTTCAGAGGGTCGGATCCGGAGCTGGCCGCCCTCCCGCCGGGGAGCAGAGAAGGGCCCCGCCCGACCTCCCCCCTCCCAAGTCTTCCCCCCTCCGGGACCTGCTCTGCTCTCCAGACCCACAGCAGAGACCACCCCCCCTCACGGGGCTGCCCGGCATAGGGGATCTCTTTTCTCCACCTCCTCCGCCGCCCCACAGATCTTCCTCTTTACCCTTCCACCTCCCTACTCCTGCTCCAGCCTCGGTCCTCCAGCTCTCCCGCCAGCGATGCCGGTCCCCAGAGGCGGAAGTGGGAGGACTTGTGCCGGCTCTCTAGGAAGCGCAGCTCTGTCGCTTTAACTCTCTCAAGCCCCGAAGGGCAAAGAAGCAGGCGCTCTTGCTGGAGAAATGCTTCCTTTGAGCTCCGTCTCCTGGCCCGGGATGTGTCCGCTGTCTCCGAGCCCGGAGGTTTGACGAAGCCAGGCGATGGTCTGAACGTCGCTGGCCCTGAAAACCCTGCGGGGCCGGCGGCGACTTGACGGCCAAAAAACACAGACTCAAAAAAGGGGGATTGCTCGGTGGGGCTGGCGAGGAAGGCACTCTGTCCATGCTCAGCCAGTGGCAAAGTAGGCTGGAACTGCAGTATGGTGGAGTAAAAAGCTAGTCCTGAAAAGTCAGGGAATCACATTCCCTTAGGAGAGCCTTCAAGCCTCCACCAGAACTGGTACTAGCTGAACGGAGGCATTGCGGCCTTGGATGGTTTCTCCAGTGCATTTCTGCAATATATTCCCCTTTGTCCCTTTTCTGATGATTCTGCAATGTTTGCAAAGTTCTTTCTTCCTATCCTCACCATGGAGTCTGGGAGGTAAGTTTAGAGCTTTGGAGATTTGATCATTTGCACTGTGGGAATGTTAGCACATACGAACCCAATATGCAGCAGATCAGCCCAGGTAGGGTTCCTGGGAAAATACAGGCCTTGAGCCCATGTAGGTAGCAGAGCTGCATCTACAGTTATCATTCACACAGAAACTGCTCTGCATGTATGTCTAACACTAACAGGCAAAGCCATGGATGGGAGAATTTGAACCCAGACCTTCTGCACCATCCATCATTCTGCTGCCCAGGCCAGTTTCTCCCAGCTTTGGCTTTCATACTAGAAGGCAGCAGGGCTGTGAGGAAAAGGCCCTTCAGTCGCATCTAATGCCTCCAGGAACCTCACCATTCAGACACTGGGGGAGAGCCTGCACTCAGCACCACCTCAGACGCAGTCCAAGAGAGCACGCTGGTCAGAGTCACCCCCCTGATTTCTGCTGATAGTCGAGACCTTTTCCAGATTCTTTAGTTCTCCCTCTTTGAAGTCAACCATGGTGCCAGGCTCCTGTTTGATGGAAGGAGAGAACACCAGGGAGAAATCCCATCCAGTGCCTTT